TCGTGCGTTTCGGCGGGTGTGGGCCAGGAGTCCTTCACCACAACATGTTGGGGGTATTGCCCAGCGGACAGAATGGCGGGCTTGGCAAGGAGGACCTGGGTTCCTTTGCCAGTGAAAGAGAAGGAGTGAAAGAGGCGGCTCTCGATTATCAACTTGTTCAAGTATTTGATAGGACTGCCCTTGATGATGCTAGGGAAAGTCATCTCAAACGACCCGGAGAATGTTGGGAAGAATTGATCATCCCCAAGTTCATCGTCAGGAGCAAGGGTGAAATGAGCGACCGCCTGTATAAAAATCAGTATGTCTTCTGCCTTGGATGCATTGACATCTTTTGTTGTGCAGTTCCCACCACGATCGGTGAGACAGAGTGTGAGGAGGGGACCACACTGGGTGAACCCAAGACAGAAGTGATGAGAGTAAGAAGACATCATCATAAACCAGCTTTGGTCAATGACATATTGTAGTGCTGCGACTCGGAGCTTGCTTGTTGAAGCATACTTCACTTCACCTACATGGTGATTGGCGATTCAGTGATAAGATAATGGTAGAATGAGTCATGGAATCTTACCTATGCTAGCAATTTAATGCCACTCTGAGACACGTGAAGTTGTGTGGTGATGAACCACAGCGATATCCGGCTTACGACGACGGGCAACATAGTTATGGGCGAGGGAGATAACTCTGCGCGGTTCCGGAAGATCAGAAACATATGAGGATGGGAAGTGGCTCATAACAAAACCAGAGCGAAGGTATGCCCAGACAACTACAGAGATGGTCCAGTACAAGTAGGCGACATCGCTTTCATGAAATGGTGGTGGTGCGGAAGCATTGAAATCAGGGCCAGGGACTAGGTTGGGCAAAGGTCTTGAGGGAATCTTGATTGTGTGTGGTGTGACGCGGCTGTCTAGAATCTCTCCAATAGCATGCACAATGGTGGCTATCACTTGCCTGTCGTCCTGGGCATCCTGCTGGGGCACATTCCACTGGGTTACCATTGTCTGCATTTGCAGTTGGATATCGAGGATACCAAGTGCTTGAAGAACAGCGAGAAGCTTCACCAACAACATGAGTGATAGCCGCTTCCTGTGAGTTAAGAGGTACTTACAATATTCATTTGCTCAGGGATATGCAAACCAGCATTGGAAACCCACGCCTTGTTTCCCCATACCACCGAGGTAGCATCTATGGAATACCTCTGGTTGTCATCTGGCACCGCAATCCCTTTGCGAAGGATATCGTCCATGGTAGCATGTGTTGCATGTTGTTGGATATTTTGGCAAGACAAGCCTGACAGACCTTGCATCTGATATTATGGAATTCAGCTTCACTGTGATGACAATACAGAGATGAACTCACCTTAACAATGCACAGGCCATTTGTAGGCAAACACCGCAATGTGAGGTCTTTCTCCCTGAAGTTGAAGTTGCCGGAAGACAAAGCAGAGGTTGCTGCAGCACTCTGAGAGAGAAGATAAGTGCTGATTAATCAGCCACAAACCATAGCGCTCACATTATCACCTGCAACTCTGACAGGGCCTGGGACTCTACTAGCATCCATGATCACTTGAGGATTTGAAGTGCATAAAGGAGGAAGGAGCTAAGATATGCGAAGTTATATGGTGAGTCCTCTGATGAAGAATACTGCAAAGTTCTACTCACCTATCTTTAATCATGATAGATCAACTGCAGTGAAGGGTTCTTCAACCTCCGCGCTTGATGATTCTGCCTTATTGATGGATGGAAGATAATATGATTTGTGTTTACATCCGTGGGAAAATGTTGCTCATTGTCCGATCACAGGTGATTCAACAATGAGCCCAACTTGGATTTTGCTGACAACACTTCCCAATGCCGTCTTCAAGTATGTGCAATCAAGAAATCTTTAAATTACAGCTAACTACAGAAGAACTTATTTTCATTGAGCAAGTGCTTTTAGGTTTAGTTCAGGCGCGGCACCATAGTGACATCTTGTCATCATTGCTACATAGAGTATACAATTTGTGCCCTCATCAACTTGTCACCCCTCCAACCCCGAGTTCTTCCATTCGTACTGGGGTTTCCCTTTCACCACCTCCAACATCACCGCCTCTGAGCCCAACATCACCACCTCCAACATCTGCCTTTCCAACACCAGTTTCTGGCATGAATCCTTCACCCTTACCTTTTGTGGGTGATGGAACCCTTCCCATGGACAAGCAAACCATCAGCAACTTTGAAGAAGTCGACTTATTCTTGCAAGACAGTGTCAGTTCTGAGGGCGACGTTGGATATGATGATGAAGATGTAGGTATAGAGGATGGAAATGAGGGGTCTGATTTTGAAGGTGGCGCAATCCGGCCAGGTACCAGGAAGGTTCGTCAACATCCATATGCTCATCCTGACGATGGCAATGTCCCCCCCATTGGTCCCAATTGTCCTTGTGGCGGGCGCCCCCTTGTTGTACATGCGAGCTGGCAGGAACAGGCTAAGGCAGTTCGTTCCAACCACATTACCACTGATGCCCTCATTGGAGCCCTTGCCACTCCTTGCATAGATGCCGCCTCCCCTTCTCTCAATTTTTGCGCATGGGTTAAGGAGATTGTGTCTTATCTCCAACACCCCCACTATGTCAACTTAGGAGGGGGGTCCATTGGAGAGACGATAGCACGCTGTCATTCAATCTCCCACCAGCAGAATGGGTCCAGCTTTGTTGCAATGCTCACATATATGCAGCTAGTGATACAGTGTCAAAGGTAAGCTTTTACTTAGTGTTACCTTCTCACATTGACTATTCATATTTTAGCTTGATCAACACCTACAAGGAGCGCTCTAGTATTCGTTGGGTTTACAACGACCATGTTGGTCAGTTGCCCAATGCCCCTGCCCAGACTACCTTCAATCGTTGGAACGCTATTGGATGCAAGTTCATATCGCTTGCTGCTGGTGGATCAATCTACATCTTGGTTCTGATCGTGGGCCTCAACATGCGGTGGAAAATCGCAACACTGGGAAGTTGGAAAGATGCTGAGACAGCTGGAAACGTGCAGTGAGCCCCCTCTGATCATTGTGTTTCATTAACTAATCGTGTCCTCACCCAGAAACGCCCACATTGATTCTTCAGTGCATAATCCCTGCAATCGCTTGGATCAGATCTCATCTGCCTCTGTCCCTCGAAAAAGTGTTCTGTCCTTCTCTCCTGGCCAGCATTGGGTTAAATGAAACCCTAGATTGTACCAACCTATCAGTCACCGACAAAGTTTTCGATGCTTTCAAGCAAAAGTGCGTAGTTCGTGATCTTTTCTTTTAAATTGTCACATGCCCTGACTATTTTTCCGTCAGCAATTATATTCTTCCTCCTCATCATTTCGACTCCTGGATGGACTGCACTACTGCAGTAGTGGAGGCGATGGTCACATCAGCATGGATCATAGGGTCAACCCCGGTTACTCATATTACACCATTCATACTGTGAATCAAGCCATTCGCGGGATACCAAAGGTTAGTGTCATCTGGACTACCTTTGACCATGAACATCCCGACAACTGCAAGTTCCCTGCTGAGACCGATCGAAATGAGAACATCTTCTGGACCAAACAGGAGCGAGTAAGGGCAGAGGCTGGTGTTGTTATCCAAGATCTTGATGATTTGCACAATAAGGTGAGTGTGCTAGAATTCGCTTGGCAATTGCAATGCTCATGTACATACTTAGTTGGACCAAAGATATGCTAATGGCAGCAGCGAGGACACCGACACTTATTTGTGCATCCCTATGGATGTGTTCCAAGGGTAAGTCAAGTCGAGGTAATTGCCATGTGTAAATAAAAGTAATGCCTCCCTAGTGCACTTGATCTGAGAAATGCAGATGACAGTCTGATGGCCTTCGTCTGTCCAACACTACCCGAATCCATCCGCAGTAACCTCCTCAGTTCATTCCTTGCATGCTTTGATGGAAATGAGGTCTTGTGCGTGTGAAAATTGAAGGATGACTTTCACGCAGATGACTGCCAAGATCAGGACACGCAAATCGAGCATCATGACAGTGTTACCTTGGAGAAGGTGGCAGAGAAGGTTCTTGAAAGTTCATTTCATTGCCTCCACTTTTCTATTTGGGATCACTATGCTACAAAGGTGGGTTTCAACATTGATTCCCTGTGGGGTAAAAACTAAATATGACGCAGGGTGATCAAGCTCCCACTGATATTCATCCTCACTATATGAGCAGAGAGGACGTTAGTCGGACCAACCATTCCCAAACTTTACCCTACCAGTCAAGGGATATTCTGTAGCACCAACAACTCTACAACAACATTCTCCTGGCATTTGGTGAGCTTTTTGAATGGATTGATGACGTGGTGAGTGGCTTGCTATTGTAGGGTGTGACCAGTATTGACGCCAAGGCAGATCAAGGAATGCTTGCCCACAGAGTACGAGGTCCTAGTTGAACTTGCTCAAGACCTACCAGGTGGTGAAGTATCACCTGTGACACGATTTCTCTCTCTTGTTGTCAACCTGAATGTATCGACCTTGGGTCATCGTGATAGGTTTGACAAGGACTTTTGTCTTGTCCTTCCATTGGGCAACTTCAAGGGTGGGACTTTGGTAATGTTTGAGCAGTGTTTGGTTTTGGAACTTCGCAGTGGTGACTTTGCTATATTTCGTTCTAGTGAAACAACGCACTTTAACTTACCATATGAGGGTAAGTGTGCCTCCTTTGTGTTGCATACGGATAAAAGCTTTGATGTTTGGAAGGACACACGCAATGACTGGGCACCCAATGATCATTTCCATTGAGAATGTAGTAGTTTAATCTTACCTCGTGTTTATCAATGACATTTTGATTTTGCGCTGTGAAATTTCCTAAACTCAGACTACACAATGAATAGTACTACACAAGGTAAAAAGATAAAGAATATATGCTACATGATATGGGGAGGAGTAGCATTGGAAGTTGAGAGTAATATTCATTCATGTATGACGGTAAGAGTGGTATGGACAATTCCAGTGGAAGCGGAGCCATGGAGATTAAAAGAGGGCAGACCTTGGAAAAATTCAGGCCCAAGGATAGCTTGACTGATGGGGTATTGAAGGTGTTACATATATGAAGGCTGCATAGGGATGATGTAGATGTGGATGAAGACAGATGATTATGAGGCGATGTATATGCCTCAGATCATAAGCAATATGTAACATGACGTAACATGCAATATAACCCTAGTAGGTTGTTGTTCTTTGGGACATACCGAGAAACAAAATCTGCTGACATTTGCAAATTGCCTGGGAGTAACACTGGTTCACTCTGTACTATCTATCCTAGCTTTTTGAAAACCTCAATTCTTTGCTCTTCATAGTTCTCTGATATGCCCCCTAGAGCCTCCAGGTCTACTAAGTCCTCTTCTACAAACAGGAATAGCTCCAACAGGAGTACTTCAAGCCGTGGAGGACGTGGTGGTAGGCCTGCTCACACTGGAAGACAGGAGAGCGTCAATCAAAATGAAGTCACTATGTCAGCAGCTGAACTACAGTCCATGAAAACAAAACTGGAAAGGCTGCGTAAAGGTGAACGCATGGAAGCTAACAAGGCTGCTGAAGCCCAAAGGAAAATAGGTAAGTCTAGCCTAAAAAAAATCGCATACAAAACTCACTGTCTCCAGAATCCAGAAAACTAGCTGCTCACAGATTGTCCCAAGAGATAGAGGAGGAAGAGTCTTCCCAACCTTCCTCTCCAAAGCGCATCAGGAGGAACCTACCTACTGAGGATGATGTCCTAGATGAAGATGAGGAGGCTCTAGCAAGAAGCCTGCCTCCTGTCATCAACTCTAGATCCTTGTCACATAGACGAGTTGACTCTGATGAAGAGGACCAGAGCCAGGAGGGGGAGAGTGAATGTCTTAACAAAAGTAATGAATGTAGGTGCTTACTTTTATTATTACGTCTGAATCTTTTGAAAGCCTAGGTGATTAGCAGGTGTCTCAAATACTGAGGATGATCAGGAAAGCAGAGGGGAGAATGGAGAGGAGGGCAATAATAATGGCATGAGTGTCAAGTTGCCTTGCAATATATCATTTGACTAATGAATGCTGTACTTTAAGATAATTGAGGTCAGTGAAGAGGGCCCACCTACTGGAAAGTGCAAGAGATCTCCCAATGGCACTAGAAAGGAGCAAGTCACTTTGTCTATACTGGAGAAGAGCGTCAGAGATCTTGCTATAGCAGGACATGATTATCTATGCATGTATATTGCTACTCAGAATGCTTTTCCTGACAGCACCGCCAAATCTTCTTTCTCCTGGAAGCGCTTAGAGGAAGCTGTAGCCTCTCGCAAGGAATTGAAACAACTTATGGAGCCAGAGTCAAAGGTGCAGAAGACCAAAGAGATGCTCATAGACTACGTACCACCTTTATGATTCTCAGCTGAATTAATTCTAACTTGTATTATCAGATGTGGAAGGGCGTCTCATCTATGAGAGGAACAGTGGCCAACAAGGCTAGAGAGACTATAGGTGATGTGTTGGGACTTTCAGGGATGAAGAGAGATGACATTGTGGAGGCAGTTGAGTGGATGCTGAAGGATCTCAAGAAAGTTCGTAAGGGAGGTGAAGACGATGAAAACATTTCTTTGCCTTTTATTTCTGGTGACTTGGACATCAAGGTATGTTCTATGAGCGCAAACATCATCTAGAATCTAATTATCTGTTCTAGAATAAGATGTTCAACAGGAACAAACCTTTTGGCAACCATTTTTTTCTGTGCATGTATCGTCTATTCTTTATAGGCAATAACCCTGATGGGGTTCATTACGTCCAACACTTCAGGAACTCTTCTCTACCCCTCCTTGCCCTTATCGCAACAGTGGTAAGTGAATTTCATTATATTCAATATTAAGTGTTATCTTATGTATATCTTAGATGGAGTGCGCTCTCTCTTGCTGGGAGACTGGATTGTTCATCAAAAAAGACTTCAGAGATGCGTATTATAAACCAAAGTATTTAATTTTGTATTTCTGACAGACATGCCTCTAGACTAACATATACTCCAGGTATCAATTTTATTTACACTTTCTCAAGAATCTTCAGGAGAAGGCTCCAAGGTGGACAATGAAAATGAGGGAAGAGATGTACCAGAATGTGCTGTGAGCGTCTTTCTTTTTTACTATGATAGTGTTTCTCATGCTTCAATATTTGCAGGGAAGAATCTAATATGACCTATCTTCTTCATATAGAGGATGATGGTGAAGGTGATGGTGGCAATGGCAGGCAGGAGGGTAAGATCAATGTAGATTATGATGCACTGGAAGTGTCTGCTGCTTGAGTAGTACTAGTAGCTTTCATAGCTTTCATAGCATCTATAATATTGAAATCTTCTATAATAATAAGAGCGGTAATAGCAATAAGAATTTCATAGCAAGATATTAATATAGTCATGCAAGTGTATATAACATATATATCAAGATATTAATATAGTCATGTAAGGTGAATTGACTATCATGATTATATATATATATTACTCTAGGAGCCCTACTAGTACTTTGGGTGTCTTAAAAAGATAGGCACTTGTCTTGCACAGGTATATACCTCTAGGTGCTTTGGGGAGTATTTGTAATACAACTATGACTACTTAGTATACAAAGAGAAATAGTGTTTTTCCTGATGAAGAACATGTCTTGAATATTTAATCGTAGACAGTCTCTCAGACACTGATCTAATCTTCATCAGTCTTAGTTTAGTTGTCACCAGAGTCAAAATCTGTTTCTCTTGGACCATACAGGTTTAAAACCTGCCAATAATAACATTTGGAGCTCTCAGGAAAGTATGCATGAGTCAATGTCAAGGCGTGATTTCATAGAATAAAAATGTTATCATTAGTGGGTTTGAAACCCACAAAGTCATTTGGAGATAGCGCCATCCAACTTGGCCAGCAGATATGAGCCTCCTTTTGTGCATGGTCCAAGAGAAACAGATTTTGACTCTGGTAACAACTTGACTAAGACCAATGAAAATAAATGTCTGAGATGCTGTCTATGAGCAAATATTTGAGGCATGTTCTTACATGAAAAAAAATATGATATTTCACTGGTTTCAAACCTGTTGCACTCCAATAGAAACAGATTTGGATTCTGTTATGATAACCACTTGGCTAGACACAGCTCCGATTAGCTTGCAAGCTGACCGACCATAAGCATATGTCAAGGTGTGCTTTCATAGAATAAAAATAAAAATATTATCATTGGCAGGTTTCAAACCTGCACTGTTTGAGAGAAACAGATTTTGACTCTGGTGAGGACATCTCGATCCTGGGATATCCGACTGTCCGACCTCATCCGACCGTCCGACCGCATCCGCACCAGTATAATAATCATTGTTCCCACGCATACATAATATACTACATTCAATGTTAAAATATAATTATGTATTAAGCTCACTGTTTCCCACACGTCCTCACCTCTGCGCACGTCGGGGATATTACTACATTTGGCCAAGCCGCTACTCAACAGCGCCGCCACATGCTTACCTCCCTGCACCGCACTCAATGACTATGCCAATACCATCAGCCCTTGAGGCCTTGAGGTGCTGCAGTTACTGCATCATCAGCGCATCAGCTCCCTACTGGCTCATCTTCAACATTGACCATGACACAGAGGGCGCCGGCGAGGGCGGGGAAAGAGACACAAAGGGCGGGGGGCGGGGAAAGGGTGATGTAAGGTGTGCTTGTTATTGTTTGTTTGTAGATGATGGTGGCTGGCATGCTGAGTCATATCTGGGGTGGATATTGGAAAGGGTCGGACGGTCGGATATCCTAGGATCGAAATATTCTGACTCTGGTGATCACTGGATCAATTTCATCTTTAGCAGGTTTTGAACCCACACAGACAGATTTAGAATCTGTTGTATCAACTGCTTGGCTAAGACCAGTTATATTCACTTCCAATGAACCCAATGATTCAGAAGTGAGTCCTTGGAAAACTGACATAATCTGTATAATGATGTGTATTTTGCATTAACTTGTGATTCATTATGTTCCACCATTTTGGATTTCATAGAATAAAAACAGCTCCATTATGCATTGATGGTAGATTCAGGCTGGAAAATATTTTGGGATCAGGTTCATATGGTGCGTTCGTATGATGTCGACAGTCGATTGATTGATATTCAGGGTTTCAAATATACACTAGCTGTCGTGTACCACGCACAAAACTTCCTTAACGATGATATCATTGCCATCAAACTCGAACCGGTCACCAATAATCCACCTTCTCTCGGGCACGAACACCGCATTCTTAAGCAACTCGAAGGTGGAGTTGGGATCCCCCGCATCCTTTGGTTTGGCAGGGAGTCAACACACTATGCCTTGGCTCTTGACCTCCTTGGTCACTCACTGCATGATCTTTTCCTCACATGCAACCAAAAATTCAGACTTCAAACTGTTGTAAACTTAGGGGACCAGCTGGTACTTTGGTTCAAATGTGTTGTGCTGTAGATACTGACCCATTTTCCAGCTGTCGCATCTGGAGTACATTCACTCACATGGTTATGTTCATGGCAATGTCAAACTGCAAAACGCTATGATAGATATTTCGGAAAAAACTGTCTATATTATTGATTTTGGTATCACGAAGAGATACTGGAATTCCTCAACCGCATCCCACATCCCATTTCGTCGAGGTCAATGTCTCACAGGCACCCCTGCCTCCGCTTCAATCAACAATCACTTGGGATTGGAGCCAGGTCGCCGTGACGATCTTGAATCACTTGCCTATATGCTGATATATTTCTTGCGTGGCTCCCTACCATGGTTAAATAGTGACCATGAGAAGCTTTCTGACTCCTTTATACTCGAGCGCAAAGTAGATACTGCCATTGCGGATTTATGTGAGGGAATTCCTCCTGCATTTGCAAATATCCTCGTCTACTCGTGCTCTCTCTCATTCTCAGAAGATCCCGATTATGACTATCTACGTTCTTTACTGCACGATCTTCGCACTGCAGGGCCTGCACCAGCTATGCATTCCCTGGATGTTGATTATCCGATCCCACCTTCTCAAAACCCTGAACTCTCTGAATTGGTGCCCACATGTCTGCCAAAAGCAATGCCCCTTCGTAGATCAACTCGTGTGTAAGTAGTTTCATTTATCCTTACACACCGCATCCATGAACTCATCATTTATTTCGTCAAGAAGTTCTCGACACCTTGATAGTGTTTCATGTGCATGATGTCCACTGTCAGCCAGTTTCATTCATAGCACCAAGGGTAATGGTCTCTATATTTCTGTACATGCTGCAGCATCTGGAGCACACAAAGAAACATCGTATTCCACTCCCGTATTCCTGTCCACCTGAATGTGAGCTCTACATATATTGATTTTGCTTGGCGTTGATTGCTGACCCATCATGATAGGCCAACAGACAGGTCCATGTGTTTTTTCTTCCAGAATAGACTCGGGGCAAAAACCCGGCGATGAACAAGTCACAGGCTGTGCTAAAAATTTGAAGGGTGTTATATATTTGAATATATGGTGAGTTTGTGATGCTGTTGAAACGTGTTGCCCGTGCATGTCTCGTAATGGAGACTTGTTGTTTCACGTATGCCCTTCCGAAACACACTCTTTGATGTATCTAATGTAGTTTCCTTCCCCAACGTTAACATTAACTCTTCATCTTCCAATGCAGAACCAATGTCCCTGAAGACACCATATTCACATGTGCAAACCACCTATGTATCATGCCACAGGTCAAAACTACTCAATAATGGTGTAGTAGAAGAAAGCATGTCTCACTACTACCCCGAATTTGTACCACAGGAGGCGCACAGCGAGGAAGCATCAGTCAAGGAGAACATTTGGGAGGCCGAAGGTAACAAACTAATCGCAGCTCTATATCAACACTTATATCATTTGCAACACTTTTTTTCTCTGGCACGCTGGGTCGATATGCTCAATTAAGGAAGGATCTTGTGTTTGGATAGTGTCAAGCATTTGATTGACACTTTTTCTACTGACAACTATGCCTATATACCCGAATGATCAATGTGGAAAACAAATGAATGTGTTAGGGTACTAGTTGCCTTACAATTGTCCATGTGATTCATTCAAATTCAGAAGTCTCTAAAGCTTGATTGCAAGTACATGTCACTTGAATTTTGAAACATAGAAAAGTATAGACTGTATGATACTATTAGCCTATCAATGTTTCAGAAAACCTGGTACTCCATGTGTTCATTTAGAGTCAAGACTGTTACAGGCATCTGCAACACCTACTAGAGCCCCAGCTCTGCCTACGCCTGCCCCCGCTCTGCTAGACTCCCCACACAGCGGTGCGCCACCCGCACCTAGAAAGACAGCGGTCTGGACCGCTATGACCCCGCCTGGCGCTATGACCCCACCCCTGGCCTAGACGGCCTTGTACCTGATCCATGGAGGCTGTACGCCTCATGGTCACCCTAGATCAGCGCATGCACGCCGCATGTCGCTTCATGAAGATCCGGAGCGCGCTGAAGGTTCAACGATACAGCGAGGCACGAACAATGCTCCTGACTGTATCTATAATTGTTGTAAGGTCGCGCGTTGCCTAGTCTGCTATACTTGAGACGACAAGTGCGTTCGACCCTAAAGGGGAAGCGAGTGCAGCAAGGATCTAGAGGTATGCGCTGAAAGCGCTACTGGTTGGCCAATGCGAAGCGCGAGAAAGCGCAGGTGCGCGCAAGGCACGGGAATGCGCGCGTGTATGGCGCGAAGCGCGGGAAAGCGTGCGCGTGTATACAGATATGAGAGAGAGTAAGAGTGAGTTTGCTTAAGTGATGATATGATGTAAGACAAGAGAAGAGAGATGCGAGGTGTAAACAAATAGATTTCTACTATGTTCTGCTAGGTGAATAGTGGGTAGTAACCAGTAAGTCCTCTGTCGTTCTGGTGGGAGAGTAAGTTTTCTAAGTGTATGTACTGCTGGCGCTTAAGTATGGCGCCTAAGCGCTGTCATGCGGAGCCGAAGCGCTACCGAGTAAGGTATGTAAAGATATATGTAAGTAAGGGTCCATGATAAAAATAAAGATGGAACAATATGCAAATGTGAGAAATGGAAATATACGCACTAGGGAACTTGGTGGACAGTGGATGGATGCTTCTGGATGGCTGGCACTATAGGGCGCTACAGCGCGGGAAAGCGCGCGCGCATATACATCGTGAAGCGCGGGAAAGCTGCGCCTCATATAGAGATAGCTGCAGGTAGCACACAGAGTGATGCTACAAGTTCGTGCCATGTACTCCCCAGTGAAAACTGCCATATTGCACAATGAGAGGCATGAGTCTCTACAGCGCTCGGCGCTTCCTGTACCTATGCGCAGCTGCCCTTGGCGCAGCATGCTTGATCAGAGGTTAAGCCTCATGTATCTTATCTGAACCTCATGTCTGGCTATCATAGATTTACGATATACTATTGATTACAGACTGAGCTAGAATACTTGTAGCACTTCCCTATAAGTAGACACAGATTATTGTACTTAGACTTTACTTTAATCTACTAGGTTCATCCCTAGAACTTGCTCATCTAAGCCTACCAGCTTCCTTGTGTGAGACCGCACTTCTAAGTCGCCCCCATACGACTTAGCACATATCCGCTAGCCCTGCATCTCGACGAGCGCCATCTTACCGAGATCGCCGGAGGAATCCTTGACGTTCCGTCAAGGCTAGACCACGCTCAGCTTCAGTAGACTCACTCGAGTCGTCGCTGAGAAGACCCATCCTAGTTCGCACACGCCGACCGATGGTCAGTGTAACAAAGACTACAATGTGCCACTGCTTCGAGCTGCATCTTCAGTAGGTCACTCTGGCAGTATGATCTGAGCCCAATAGACTATCGCACGAATGGCAGGTTGCAAATGTGACATCGGGATGTCACTCAACTGGAAAGATTAGTTAGAGGCATCCGACGGACTCTGTCAAACAATGAAAATATTTACTGCATCATACACGACTGCCAAATCATCGAGGAGTTGAACCCCCTGTGGTCCCTCAATGATAGGGTCTCATCTATTGAACTGTAAAGCATTGAGTAAATTGAAGAAGTGCCTGAATGCCAATATGATTGCTTACCTCACGGAGAATGTCGACCACAAATGGATGAAAATCCCAACACTGGTTGGCCAGTTTGAACAGATACTCAATGCGGGGGTCATGGAATTTGACATCATCATCAGATTCCTCTTCTTCCTCTGATTCTTGTGATTCTGATTCTTTGTTAGAGTGGGCCATCCAGAAGTCTGCATGCATCATCAGGCTGAGTGCATGAGGTCGAAAAATAAGTATCACCTTCTGAGTCAAGGTCGCTATCCTCTATGGTAGCTCGGGAGTACATCGAAATAGGTCTCATTATTAGTCCTTGGTAGCATTTGCACTCAGTCATCGTATGTGAAGTGTGTTGTCTGATGTGTAGTAGTAAGTTGAAGGACAGTTCAATGCCTTATCATGGACCTTACAGCGCCTTAAATATGATATGCTTCAACAAAGGCAAGAGGCTCAAGATATGTTCCGGACAGATTCTAAGACACCAACCAATTTTTGACCAATCTTTATCTTTGTGTCGCCACTTCCACTAGTCATAACTAGTTCTTTATGAAGACATTAGGTAACTTACTAAGTTTAATGCTGCCATAGTTCGAACCTAACCATTAATGGTCAGGTTCGTCCATGTTTCAGTCCATGCTGTGTCGGGAGTTTCCGTGGAGTCTTGCAGGATGTGTGTCAGCCGCATTGCAGGTCTGTCTGCCCGCTGTCTTCCACCATCCGCTGATAACCGCGCCCGCCTCTCCCTAGTCAGCGAGATCAGCACACAAGGCATGTCAGGCTCTCCATGTCCACCACCAACAGAGTCGTGCCATCTGGAGTCCTGGATGGTGAAACAATGATATCAGGCCGCAAGGCAGATGCCATTACCCCCTGGACCTCCTGGACGTTGGCTGTTAGGAAATACGATGCCAAAGTCATAGTAAGTCATTGCCAAGGGACACCAACATGATCTCTATCTAACCCCTCATGCAGTGTGCTGTTTCAATTTGCGAGATGGACAGAACAATATGGACCTGTGTTCTTGCTCAGACAAGGCCGGAGCATACCTTGCGGATACGTATCCAATCCTGTGTTTTGTCCCGGGCTACCTCAGTCAGCTGAATGCATGGCACAAGGAAGAACATTCTCTCTATAACAGGCAGTTGGATGCAGTGCGAAGACGAATGGTTCGTGATTTTCTTCTGATGATATATGTTCTCACTCACCATCGTCAAGCATGAGGGGACTGCAAGGCCATCCTTTGCAAGTTTCACTTTAGAGCATCAGAAACAGTACCAGCTCGAAGACAAGGACCTGGGATACATTGCAGGAGCAATGTTTGTGGCTGGTTCTGATATGGTAAGCTCTTACATTGCATTGCGTCTTCACTCTAACTTTATATATCTTCATAGATATTTTAGAGTCTGGTTCACGTTCAACCCCCCCAAAAAAACCAAACCTGACCGCTCTAAATGGTTTGCAAAGGTTCGGTCCAAGGTTTGTCGACTCTGGTAGAACCGGACCCAAGTTCAGCTCTCCTTGCTCAACCCCTGCTCAACCGGACTGAACCGGACCACGGCAGCACTCGGCCTTAGGTAACCAGTTTCTGCTTTCTTTTGACAACATGTTGATTTCGCTTCTTAGCATTGACACATAGTCCGACTTTCACGCACCATTTCGCACCAGGGTCATAGACTCACCACTGGTGGCATTCACAATGTGAAATTGTAAGAGGGTGGGGACGATTTAGGCAATCCCTGATAATCACTACTAGTCCTTTGTTCGTGCGTCATGATTTAAAAATGTATCATCTCACAACATCAATTTGAAGTCCCAGTATAGCTCACTCTCTCTGATGAGTCCTTCCCACAGCAAAATCATCCGCCAGAATTACTTTAGCAAAACTTACAACCTTCATTCCTCATCCTCAAAGTCAAGCCCTAATCACACTTCATGTATCACTTCTGTAACAAGTAACAATGACACATTTCGCCTTGAGCTCCAGGCTACGTGCAAAGTACGTTTGCATTGGTCGTCCCTGAACCTGTCACTTTTCACTGACAGCGCCGTCTCTTGTTAGACAGCAATGGAAGTTAATGCCCTCGCTGCAGACATACCGCACCTGAGAGAGCCAAGTAATGCATACTAATATCATCATTGATAATCCTCTTTTTTTCTGATGGTTGGCTCACCAGGAGCTTAACACAGCAAAACATGAGCGAGAGCAGGCCTTCATGGAGTGAGATAATGTTGTCACTACCCATGAGCATGTACACACCTGGCCTTCACTGATTTACCTTCAAAAAACTGATTCCCATCCTTTAGTTGAAGCACGCTGTGAAAGTTGCATTGCAATGCCCAACGTGCGAAGGGGTTATTGAACGGCCTTTCATGTAAGTTTAATCCTGGTGTGATTTTAGATGCTGCTGACTGCATTTACTATTGGACAGGTTGAAATGTCGCCATACATTCTGCTATGACTGCCTCATCAGTTTTTTTTACCAATGTATCAGAGTCTGCTTATCCTTCCGCTTTGAAGGAATTCTTCCAGAGAATTTTAGGAATCATGTCCTGCCGTTCACCCTTAACGAGGTTGAAGTACTGTGCGATGGTGAAGCGGCTATCCTTCCAGGTCGTTATTATCACTGTCCCACATGTCAAGTGTACATCTACAACCCTCCTACTGAAATCCCCTTGCTCTGCAACATGTCCGCTGGCATAACAAAGGGACTTGGTCCTGACATAAAATGTGCTAAGCGTGGGATACCTAGTACAGATCCAGCTGCGCAATGGGCAGTGTTCTTCAAGTAGGAGGGTAATAGCTGCAGGAGGCAAGAACAACAGGTCCAAGGAACTGTTATGAACCTTTCTCCCAATTCTTTTATGCATATTACTTTGTCTGTACACTGATAGTATTCCATCTAATAAAGAGTACCAGGTGTTAGAGAGAAAAACAATCATGTACTGGTTTCTCTGCAGCGTGAAGTTTCTCCCAGTTGAATTGTTTGGCTGCGCCCAGTAGATTTCTGGCGGCTTTCCATGCGGCTGCACATAGATTGTTGAGGGTTAAGTACTAAGTCACTGGTTCGGGAATTATGCACATGAAGGAGCACTAGTGCACTGCAGAAATGAGAAAATAGTCAGGCCTGATTAGTGTAGGGATAGACCATATAATCAGATGTCACATACAATACAAATCCCGAAGCGCTAGACTAGCGAGAGGTACACAGTGCTGACTCTAATATGACTCTGGATACATAAGTTTTGCGGAGGTAGGTTTGTTATCTGTGTATCTAATCCAACAGTGGGATGATATCTGAAAATATACATTGCACATCTGAATTATGTCTGCATACATATAGAAATAGATCTAATTAGATTCTGCATAGAATGTACTACATGAGGTCCATATGCTCCATATGCAGCTATGCCTCCTAGGATTCACCATGCACTTGCCCATAGCTTCTTGTTCACTCTTCCCTTCATTCTCTACACCCCACATCCACAATGTATGGTTCCAACAGCCCACAGAGATGCCCTAGCAGTTCCAGGAAGACCTCTGGATCGTTTGCGATAGCCCTGAAGCATGAGCGTCAGATACAAAAGTGGGGGGCAAAAATGATTGCCTACTGACCAATGGTTTCCAATAACAGTCGCACCTGCCGGAATGAGGTAGTTCTTCCAAATGATGGCCTTAGTCGTGCGGTGCGCAAAGCCTGTAGTGAAAGATGGGTCATTCATTATTGCGTCATGACAACTCAAATAAGACATACCTCCAAGATTGACAGGTCTCCACCTGAGACTCCCGAGCATGAACGCGGTAACCTGCGGCAGCATTTCCTGATCATCAAATGTCGGCATTAATCAGGAGTTATCTCAGTCAGTAGATGAACAAAGAATAACTTACACTGAGTATGCCCCACGATGTTATCAAGTTCCTCTTGTATGCGAGCCTGCGCATCTGTATGAGTGGTGGCAGCCATCATCATGATTGTGATTGCGGATGCAGTCTACAACAGTTGTTGAGTGAAGACATGATGCAATGTATTGCCATATCAGAACCGGCCGCAGACATTGCTCCTGTAATGTATCCCAGGTCCTAGAAGCAGGAGATGGAGGAGGAATGGATGAAGGAGGAGCAGGGAGTGGTGTCGGAGTGTGCACAGACTGGCCAGCATTTTGGTGTCATGGCTGGCCAAGGGAGCATACGGACTGGCCAACATTTTAGTGTCATGGCTGGCTGAGGGATTATATGGACCGGCCGATGTTTTGGTGTCATGGCTGGCCGAGGTACCATATGGACCGGCTGATGTTTTGGTGTCATGGCTGGCCAAGGTACCATATGGACTGGCCGATGTTTTAGTGTCATGGCTGGCGAGGTACCATATGGACCGGCCGATGTTTTAGTGTCATGGCTGGCGAGGTACCATATGGACCAGCTGATGTTTTGGTGTCATGGCTGGCCAAGGTACCATATGGACCGGCTGATGTTTTGGTGTCATGGCTGGCCGAGGTACCATATGGACCGGCCGATGCATAGCTTAGTCAGTAGGGGTAGAGCCTTTGGGCATTGTCATAGGTAGCATTATCATTAGGTCAAGGCCACACCAGCTTCCATCTGCCAGAGGCAGGCACATTGCCAGCCGTTCTAGTCCAATGGCTGGCTGAGGGACCATATGAACTGGCTGATGTTTTGGTGTCATGGCTGGCCAAGGTACCATGTGGACCGGCCGATGTTTTGGTGTCATGGCTGGCCAAGGTACCATGTGGACTGGCTGATGTTTTGGTGTCATGGCTGGCCAAGGTACCATGTGGACCGGTCAACATTTTGGTGTCATGGCTGGCCGAGGCACTATATGGGCCAGCCGAGAGGCTAACTAGCACCATGGGCCCAGCTGTATTATGTATATTACATCTATAATATTACCTATGGGCCCAGCCATATATCATATCTACAATTTATTCATTGGCCCACAGGTATACTACTCAACTAGTATGGGCCCAGCCATATGTTATGGCTACAATTGCCCATGGGCCCATCTGGGATGGCCCGTATGGTACAGGTGATTGTCACATTGGGCTGACCATAAGATATGGACTATTTCACTGAATGGGCTCTTAGAATGATGTTCTAAAGACTGGGGGAACTCATTGCAAACAGCCATCATCAAGTGAGTTTAATGCAGCAGGTGGTCCATTTTTATGACATGATGCTGGACCTGTTTCAATAATTTATCTACAAAGTATCATATGTACGAGGCATATATGTCTTCATCAATATTAGAGTTTTCTTGCAATCGCTTGTCATCCAGCACCATTGTGCTGGTGCTTATAGAATACTATGTATTTGGATATAATATGTCAATATTTGGTTTGATTTTGCCAGAAATATCTATTCAAATCATCTCATGGCCGATTTCCTGACAGTAGCCTATGCCTCTTCCTCTTTCCTGAGTTCACAATATTGTAGCCATGACTATACAAATCTGCTTCTGCCAGATCTCTCCCACATTGAACATTGATGGGGAAGAGCCACCCACGAACAACCACATTATCAGTCATTGGTATTTGTCTGAATCGCTGACCGTGGAGATTTTTGATTTTGTAGGTGTTTATCTATGGATCATCTATCTAAGAAGACAACGCCCCTCCTTCGTTTCACGATATTTCTACCTTGCACGTTTCCCTTTCTATGCCTACTAGTGGACACAGGTAGCACGATGCCGCCAGTGATCAAGATTTCCTGAACAGAACATCTGTCTTCTATCAATAGGTCTGTGCATGCATTAGACTTTGTGGTTGGTCTTCAAATTTGACTGTTGTTCTTGATTGCACACTCACTCCACCCCATCAAACTCATAAATGGGATGAAGTAATTGAATATGCATTCCTCGCCGACTTTGACCTACTGCATGATGCTCAAGAAGATGTGTCAGAGCATCCATGGGCGACGCCAGCTGCTCGTCAAGCAATGGATTTGCACTTTAAGATGTGTTGTGCCAAGGAAGTAATACTTTGCATCAATGTTGAGACTCAGCATTTGGCAACATACATTCAAGATGAGGACCACTACCTATGTGCTTGCGAGGCACAAATGCTGCCCTTGGAACCTGCTCTTACCTACCAGATCGGACTTGACGCCTAGCATGCAGTAGAGCTAATGATCATCTCTTGCAGTGTTTGGCACACATTGCCGAGCTCCCTGGATTCAGTGGTTGTATTATACCCAGAGACAGCACTAAATCTTCTCCTGGGGATAGCGCCAGCACACTGCACATCATCATTCCAGCTCACATCCATGTGCACCATAGCACTACTCAATCTCTCAGCATCCCATCTCATACAGACATCCTAGAGACCCAGAATGAACTGGAGGAGGAGGAGGAGGAGGAGGAGGAAGCAGTAGAGGCAGCTGTACAGGCCCTACATGATGTCTTACAGGTCTCAGTGGACTAATTCATTTGTACTTGCACATGCTTTTGAGGGGATTGTGTAGAGTATGCTTAATATGATCGTCTGAAGAAAGATCCGATGCAAAACGGTGAAAGGGACACTTGAAATGCGAGCTCGCTGTAGCAGACAGCAAGCACAAAGGTTTACAGGACTTGCCAAATGTTGTCAGAGCCAAAAATGATATTAATAGCATTCCAGGACATTGCCAAAGTGCCTAACTACCGACTACTGCTTATTTTTGCTAAGTACCCACAATAAATACCCAGCAATTATCCATCTGAGCACTACATTGCTGTATCTACCTGTACTTAGAGCCGCCCTGACAACCAACATCCACCTCTAATTACAAGAGTTATGTGGGAGTCACAGGTGGAGTACTGGTAGAGTACAGTGAAAACGATACAAAAGAGGTTGTTGGATGGAGCTCACACTTGATTGCAGTGGCTCAGAATCAGCTGTGGCAGTGCTATATTTGTGATCACAATTGATTGTTTGCGCCCTGTTAAATTACATAAAAATAGGCCATGTTTGCATTGGAACTGACTCAGATTGTGAAGTCTATATCAATATTATTAAAATATTATCATATCTATGTCGCATTTGCAAAGCTTTGTGCTGCGTTGCAATTAGGTCACATGCATTGCAATGTCCAATTCAAGACTTATCTCGATCACTGGCTATTGCAATGAGGGTGGGAAATTTCCGACAGATAGTATTGGGAAGCCCAGGTGCACAATTAATTATGTAATGAATGTAGTACAGTCGACTCCCTCCTAACGCATACCTCTCAGGATAGCCCCAAAAGTATGGCCTATTAGAGAGTATGGGGTATCCAAGAGAGCCATATTCCACCGCTCCGAAGACACAAAATTTGTACTTGCTCACATTAGTATTGCTCTAGTAGGTGCTATGAAGCTATTTACGAGAAAAATAATCAGTCAATGTTGTGTCCTTCATGCCCTGCATTTCGACTGCAAGACTCTGCTGTCCAAACGACCCTAACATCACCTCGAGCTTGCGTGCAACTGGTTCGTCGAAGGTCCCAAGGTATTTCCTCAATGTTAAGGTAGCCTGTAGCGCTTCACAACGTGTTGGGCCTGGCGCAGGCACATCAATATCTGAGTCATTGTTGTTGTCGTTGCCTCCAGCAGCCTTCTCCTGCAACCTCTTTGCATCCATCACAGACTCAAAGATATCCTCATCTGTCGCATTGAAAATGTTGGTGGTCTCGATTGCTGGGTTCAGAAGTCCTGCAATATCCATCCGATTCGAAGATTGGAGAGCGCCAGTTGCCTCAAGATCATCCAAGGCATTTTTAACAAGTGTCTCGGCATGTGCAGTGGGGTTGTTCATGGCATCCGTTAAATGGACAAGGGACAAGATTGGAATGATGGGTCGAGTGGGTGATGATGTTGACTCCAAGTCAGGTAAAATGCCGGTGTGTCGCCAACAGTTTCAGATTGTTGTAGTGTCCACTTTGTTCCATGCATCTTGAGCAAGTCTCATTGCCTTGAGTTGGTCAATGTCGTAGATTTTGGAGGGAGTGATGCTGGCTTCGTAGTGGTCAACTGCACGACGGATGAACTTGGCGCAGTAATGTGCCTTAAAGCAGTGAATGATGCCCTGGTCATTAGGCTGTACATGTGCAGTGAGGTTCGGCTCGAAATTTTCAACTCGAATGTTGGTGAGGGTATCAGGAACGATGTGTCCTGAAAAATTGTCCTGAAAAAGAAGAATCTTCCTCCTCTCACGTCGCATCTTCTGATCCAAATCAAACAACCATTCTTGATAGAGCGAGGCTGTCATCCATGCCTTGGCATTGTTCCGATAGTAAAAGCCAAGCTGTGAGCCTGTCTTGTTCTTGAATGCGCGAGGTTTTTGTGCTTTTCCAATGATTAGCGGAGGTAGTTTCTGTGAGCCATCTGCGTTTGTCGTGAACAAATAGGTCAACCGGACTTTGTTTCCTTTGATGCCAGACTGCAGCTTGTCTGAAAGACCATGGTCAGGAGGCATGCTGATCAACATTGTTAAGGATTTGTTACTGTTCGAAGAGGAAATAACTTACGCATAGAATAATGAAGATTCATCTGTGTTGAAGATGTCGCGTGGCTGATATCCATACTTTTTGATAAGCTCTTGCACACGCTGTTGTTCCTTATCAACAGTCTCGGAGGTCACTGAAGCAGCTTCGCTGTGACGTTTCATTTCCTTTAACCCAGTTCTTGTCTTGTACCGAGTCAACCACCCCTCACTAAGGTTCAGTCGCTTGTCCTCTGGCACACCAACCAAGTCCACAAATTTTGTCCATTTTTGGTGGAGAACCATGCCAGTGAGAAGAATTCCATCGGCCATCGCCTTTGAGACCCAGAGATCCAACATTTCGGTGACCTCAGGGTGCTGAGTCTGACAGATCCGTTTTGCTGAACGAGCTGGACCTGTGCTGGTATCATATTCCTCACACCATTTTTCTTCATTCTTACACCAGGCAGATATTCTCGGCTGTTTAAGTTGAAGGTTTGAGTAGATTGCATCAAAATGCTTCACCGTTTTGCTCTGATTTTCTCCATTAGCATGGTGCCAGTCGAGGATCTTAATTCTCTGCTCCAATGTAGCATTTTCTTTTTTCATAAATGCTGGTTTCTGCGTGACTTTTCGCTGGTTGTCACTGCCAGATATTTTCACTGGCACTTCAGGACCTGCAAATAGACTTAAGTATAAATCATGTAATTTAGGAATGTCATACGCTTGCGCTTCGAGTTCTTTGCAGGACCATGACTCTTCTCACCACCTCTGGCAATGTTCTGTAGCTTCTCCACAACAGATCTGTCATGTGAGTTCAGCCTATTGAGCCCTCGCTCGTAGTTTGATGCATGGTCCAAAGCATCGACAACTCTTTCTTCATCCACCAGATTTCCTGCATTATCCAGCCACTCCTGGTCACTGTCTGATATGGGCTGGCAGGCCTTTAATTCACCCTCAAGCCTTACTTTCTGGTCTTGTATTTGACGTTGAAGCTTTGCTAAGCCCTTTTTTAGGATCTCGACAGGCTTCATAATGACAAAGAAGTTGATATTTCAGAGTCCTGGACCACTGTTGTCATCCTGAGATACGGATTACATGATATATTTTCCTATTTTGGTGCTACATCGGCATCATGATCCGACCCAAGGTATGGGTTATGCATCAGTAAACTACTTCGCGCTGTGCAGCACTGTACAGCACTGTACAGCATGCAAGCGCTACAGCTTGGTCCCAATTAGCCAGTCCATCACAGTGACACCTTGCACTGTGAATCTCTGTACAGACACCTACAGACCGCCCAGTGATTACGAAATTCTACTTGAATTGCAAATTTTTTCGCTGTCCATCTCTGTACAGACACTCACAGAGCACTCAGAGACCTGGAGTTGTACAGACATTTGCTCGCTGTACTGCTTACACATACTTGACAACGCAAAAAATTTTAAACAAAAAAACAAAACCAATATATTTAATTACATGACCATGAGATACAGTAGTAAATCACAATCGGGGAATACAATGATACGATGCGCCAAAAACAATAAATGCTTGATTGATATAAACTGGGGAGCGGGAATACGAAGCTTTTAGTCAAGAAGAATCTTCAGGTGGTCGTGTCTCACCTCAACAACTCCTTCGAGATTCATAGCTCCAGCCCTGTACAAAGGAAAATCAGTAAAAAATTATCGGAGAAAAGATCCTCACCATCCCACTGCAGCCCATTCTCACAGTTGAGCTGACAGCCTAGGCCCATGATATGCATCCTCAAGGATATGTTTGAGCAATTTGAGCATCTGACAATAGACGGGGCCGTAGTCCTTGGTGGAAAAATTTGGGTATGACTTCCCATGTCCGTTTTTCACAAGACCGTCGAAGACACAATTGAACTAGTTTCAAGACAGAAAATTAACACGCGACATTGGCGAGGGAGACGAAATTACCGCTGCAGCAACCAAAGCCAAACATGAGAGTGGCAATTCCATGCTAAAGGTCTCCAGCATCCTTTGTGCGATTCGATATGGTCCTGTGTAAAAGAATATGATGACGGCTTCACGAAGGGTGGGATGAGCGAAGTTTTGTGTTCTCCCCTAGAAATCTTTTATCAGTAGAGTTGCGATCACCACAAGATCACTTACCTGATCATCCACCCCAAAGCATAAGAAGAATGCTTCCTTGATCAATTCAGCAGCAGCATGCTCGACCCAAGCAGCACGTTCCTGAATGGGGACAGAAAGCGGAGGAATAAGCGAATATGATACTGGTGCAATGCTTATGGCAGTTTTCTTCAAGTCAGATCACCATGTCGAAAGATTGTCGTACAGCTTTAATACAGACTGTCAACGAGATATTGGCACAAAGTCAGTTATGCACGCACCAACCGAGTCATATTAAATTTTTGTTCTGGCCAAACCCCTGCATCTGTTATGCACTCAAATAGATCTGTTAGGCGGAGCCCTAAGAGGGGCGTCGTCCGCTAACGTTCATGATGTAACCGGAAGGATCCGGTATAGCAAGTGATACTGGCGACGATGAGTCGGCAGTGATCACAGTACGCGCGTGTCACGTGACTTCTAGGACGGATGTCTTTGAAGTCGCTCAAGGTAAGGACAGTCTTGTCCAAACGATGAGGTCGATCGAGGTAGACTTAGTTGCGATGAGCAACTAAGAAAAGATACTAGAGACTGAAGCCAAAGGGGCGTTCAGAGAGGAGTATGTTCCAGGGAAGATTGAGTAGATTCAAGTTAGAGAATCTAGTACAGGGTGACCGACTACTTATAATAAGTGGAGAGGGTTAAGGGCAAGGCTACCGCACAGTAGGTAAGGGTAAAGGGGAAACGAGAATGGTATAGGTGCGTTGGCAACATAGCCGGATTAGTGATGGGTGGTCGAATGTGGAATGAGATCGAGAAATGTTGGAACGAACCAATGGTAAGAATACAACATGCAGGAATCCGCAGTCAGAAGGAACAGAAAGAGGAAAGCCACATTGGTGGCACGAGTCAGACCGAGTCATAGGTGTGAGACCACCTTGGTGGTCGAGTCAGGGGAAGAACGTGTGTGCACGCGCATAGAGGCGGGCGATGCGAGGGACGGGAACGGTCCCAAGGATCCGGTCAACGGAAAGTCGGTAAAGGAGGACAAGCCGGTAGATGGTAAGGGCGAGGATGAAGGGAAAATGATAGGGGGGCCAAGTGACCGATGTTACTTGTAACAGCATCAGAATATGACATATTAGTTTGAGAACAAATGAGAACGAACAAGTGCCTACCAGCTTCAAATTGTTTACCGTTCGTATCCCACACAACCAATACTGCAATGAGAACTTCAGTGATTGTTCCTGGAAGATTCTTCACCAAAGTTGGAAACGGGTTCTCCAGGGCGTGTTGTGCACGACATTCTACTTTGGCGTCCTCCAGAAAACTTTTCCAGTGTGGTCCATACCAAGATAATTGATCGGGTGTTGGCCCACCACGCGATGACCTGGACTTTTTGTTTTTCGATGGCTGAACATCACACTCAGACACTTGATTCAGCAGTTCGAGGGATTCAGGGTCAGGAAGATGCGGCTTTCCGTTTTTCTTATGGTGGCGTTGCAGTACATCGTCAGGCTTCGAGGTGATGGTCTGCTCGATGGTGAGCGTCAATTAAAATGATCTCCCTAATCTCACCTCAATGTGTTGGGACTCTTGCCGCTGCAGTCCTGGTGAGATATCCAGAGGGTCCTTGAAATAAAGGCAATGGTAAGCATGATACAATTGAACGATATGGCCATACCTGAGAGCTCTTGTTCTGCTGGAGAAACAATATAAAATGAGAGTTACTCCTGGCTTGAGCAGAAAACTTACTGAGGTTTTATCAAGGCTCGTCTGGGCAACTACATCATCTTCATTGCGTGAGTACTGGAACTGAATTTCAGGTGTGAGAGGGCGAGCGACTGGAGATTGCGAAGGTGGTACATCCTCCACAAATCCTATAACATTGAATTAGTGAAGCGAAATCACACCATGAGAATGTGTACCTGGGTGTTCTTTCTGGCGTCGGCCAGCCTCCCCCCAACCAAACTGCTGTGAGCTCTTGACCGTGTTGTCATTTCCCCCCTCCTCCTCATCATCCTCTCCGCTGTCCTCTTCATCAGCATCTTTATCATCGCTATCATCGCTGTCATCACTGCTACAGCCTTTGGAGTCACTGTCCTTGGATTCAAACGACGTCAGACGATGCTGAGTCCTAACAGTGTCATCATGCTGACGTAGGGCTGGATCTAAATTCTCCTCCAAAAAGATGGACCTCGGCAAAACCACTGGATATTCAGGGACAGTGTTCTGGGTATGCCGCTCAGCAATTGCATCCCGAGTTCGCTTCTCAGCGATAGCGTCTCGAGCTCGTTGCTCGGCAATAGCGTCCTGAGCGCGCTGCTCGGTGTCCTGAGCGCGCTGCTCAGTGTCCTTCGCCCCAAGGGTGACATGTGGGTTGTGCAATGCCTGAATATTTGGCTGAGCAGTACTGGAATGAGCTATTTCTGTTGGAGCAACAAATCCAAACCTTCCACCAGGTTGCTGGGATGTAAAGCTGGGCCCTGTGGTGATAATATCCTTGGCTGGGGCATCTAGAGCATCCCTAACAAGTGAGCTGTAGGGTGAAGGAACTGCCTATGAAACAATCAACATGAGTAACAAAATTAATTAGATGCCTACCTTTGAATGATTCTTTCGACCTTTACAATGCAGTTCTGGGGCTTGAGGATTGACTGGAACATTGGGACCAAGGGACGTCATACCCTTACGTTCTTGAGTCCGAGGCTTAGATTGCAGCACTGATCCAATCTTCTCCAGTTGCGCATTCCTACCTCCAGTTCCCGCATTAGGGCGACCAGAACACCGGGGAGCATTTTGTTCCATTTCTGCTCCAGTCAGGCCGAGGGACATGAGGGGTACCATGCTGGGTACCTCAGCAATGTCTGCAGCCCGAGACTTCTTTGGCAAGCCGGCCTTTGAAGCATCAGATCCTTTGCGCTTGCCAGATCGTTTCTTCTTAGGACTGGCGATGGCACGAGGAGGCATGACTGTAATGGAGAACACAGGAAGAGGTGACTCTGATAAATTATCCCAGACTTACGAGGATTTTATACCATGGCTCATCCATGTACTACTCAATAGCCGTATGGGTAGCGAGAGAAAACTTCATCATTAATAAGAGCAATAGTAATAAAGAAACATACCACCACGAGGATTGTATACTATCACGTCGTGCTCCACATCGATTCGCATGACTAGCATGAAAAACCTTCATCATTAGTAATAGTAGAGTCATAAGAGAGATTGCTGATCACATAAGCAAAAATGCTACACATAACATGAATCGTACCAGAACCTACTAGTAGTGATATATCACATCCTGGCGTACTACTAGTAGATCTTGATTGTAAAAAGATAAACACTTGAAAAAAGCTTGAAAAAGAATGATATAGTTAGAACAACAATAGTAAGGTATCAATAAGTGAACTATAGTAAAAACGCAACACATGTAGTACAAGCCAGCGAGATTCTAGAAATACTACTGCTAAAGTTAAACATGCCATTCATACTAAGTCAGTGAAGAAGAAAAATAGTTGAATATGTGTAATGAGTAGGCTTCACCTCCTGGTCATGCGTCACTGCCCGATGCTGAGTCGGACTCGGTATCACTATGATGAGACTTCTGCTGCTTGGGTGCTACCACAGAGGGAGAGTCTGAAGCAATATGTTTGCCCTTGACACGGTGCGTGAGAATGACAGCATCCTTCTTGAGCATGTTCACAGTAGATACGAGCTCCTCGTCATCGGGGAGTTTGTCGAGATGAGAGTTGAGTACAGCAAGAATGGTGTTGAAGGTAACAGGGTGGATCATGTTGTCCACCAGAACTCTACGCCCACTCTGTTGCGAGGGGGATCAGGTCCTTGAAGTACGGGTGAAATTCGTCTGTGAGACGCTTTTCCTCTGCTGGAGACGCGAAAAAGGCGATCTTGAAGGCTGCGCACGACGCCAGGTCAAGGCTGGTCCAACGATCTACCAACAAATTGGACACGCGCTCCTGGTGCACCATACCGTTGGGACCACTAAACTTGATGCAGACCCAAGCGAACACGAAAAAAGGGACTCCAGGTCATCCGCAAAGCCTTGGATGACATATGATACAGGTAGCGCCAGAGAATCAGAGGATGATTTCGGGGTTTTTGGTTTGTCGACTGAATTGCGTCCCCGAGTCTCTTTCTTCTTCTTTGTCTGCTTCTTCTTCGATTCCAGGTCTGCCTCCTGCTGCAGGACCACAAATTGGTTGAGAAGTCCGCGTGACATGAAAGGGACTGTGCCCTGGCAAATCAATTAATAAACTGAATATTTAATGAATAAGGTGTACTTACTGTACCGCCGATGGGATATTTATGATCCGTGGCAATCCGAACGGCAAACTCCCAGTCAATAAGAAACCCTTCACTAGTACCTTCAAGTTCATCTAGGATCATCGCGTTGTTGAGACTACAGTCCCGATGCAAAATCTGATGTTCCTCCACCGCAGTTTGTTGAACTAACATCAGAGAGTATCAGTCCAAGACACCTGTACCCCAAAGGACTAAAAACTTACTCTTAACGATATCCCTTAGTGCTCACACAAACTCCTTCAGCATTCGGAACATGTGAAGGGGGTGACCACATGGCTTCAAGACAAGACGTACATGAGTACGACTAGTGCCCCTGGTACTCCGGTGTTCCTTTTGCTGATATTTTCGGGTAACATCGGGATCACCATCTGACTGTTCAACGACCCAATGATCCACCAGCTTTGGAACGCCAGGGACGCCATACATCAATTCCAGCATCTTGATCTCATTCAAGACTACATTGTCGTCCTTGCCTACAACCCAATGGTCTTGATTATGTAGTCTTCATCATCTAAGGTTGCCAAATAGCAAACGGTTCCGCGACCAACGAGACCTCGGCTCGCAAAAAGAATTCTTCTTATAATGTAGACCGTCTGCCCCACATGGATTTTACCGCAAGGTTCAGGTGATTGAGCGGAGTAAGGGAATTGGGAAGGGAGAGGGGTGACAGAATAGATGCTCTCGGTCATCTCAGCCTGGGGCATTTGGGATGCGAGGCTAAGAAGGGGAGCACTACGGTGTAGGGATTCATTTCTGGCTGGGCTTGCAGAGACTGTTTTTACCTTAGTGTTATGTTTGCACTTTTGTAGCTTACATAAGAAAGTTACCTTTTCACCAGTTCTACTATGAGTCTGAGTATTCAGCAAGTTTCTATCATATTTCCTCTTCTCTGAGCCTTGAGCCTGGTCCAGAAACCCTTTAGGGTCGAATAGCAGCTAGGTTCTGCAAGACCCAACATTGTTCAGACTCACCATCTGAATTGTTGTACCTTCAACTGGAGCCCACCGCGAGGGGAACAGTCAGCAAGATCTAGTTCTGCGCATCTTCGCATCTAGCGCCATTTAGCACATATAGGTCAATCTCTTTGCATTTTCACAAGCTAACCATCTTTAGTCACGCATTCTCGCGCCTCACGCGCGCGCCTTTCTCGCGCTTCAATGCCTTATAGAATGCCCATCCGTGGCACGACGAACGCGCCCAAGTTTGATGGCACTACAGACAACCTCGCCGAGTTCATTGATGCATATGAGCAGCTCGCTGATGAAGCAGGACTCCAAGGACTCGACCGCATCAAAGGTATTATTCGCTACCTTGAACGCGATGATCGAGAACTATGGGGAGGCATGCCTGAAGCGGCAGTAAGCGATTACGACGCCTTCTTAGATGAGGTGAAGGTAATGTATCCAGGATGGGATGGCAAGAGACGCTACGCACTCGCGGACTTACGCGCCATCACGCAAGAATACGCTAACAAACCTATGCCCTCTTGCACAGAACTAAGCAATTACTTGCGCGCATTCAGGAAGGTTATGCAGCCACTTATGGATGAAGACCGTATTGGAAAGGCCGAACGCGACCGCTTATTCATTGGAAGGAATCCCTAGAGATCTCAGCCGCAAATTCGCTTGCGCCTTATGATCAAGTTCCCCGACCACTATCCACACGACCCATATCCATTCATGGACGTCTTTGCAGCTGCACAGTTCCTATTACCTGCGCGCGCCTTTCCCGCGCCAAGCGCGCCAGTTAACGCGCCTGTAGTAGTGCCATTTGCGAACTTAGTCCCAGCGACCGCGCCAGCGCAAGCACCGGTGCAAGCCATGGTAACTAAGCGCAAAGATCAATACTACGCGAGCCCCGCAACACAGGATACGTCCACTAGCGCTAGTGTGACAGCTGGACTCTTCTATCGCGCATCCTCAGATGTTGTACTTGACAAAAGGCCACCAGTTCCTATCCTTGCGCCTCGTGCGCACGATTTTCCCACGCCTTCGCGCGATTCACGCTCACCTGAACCATCAACTGCGCCAGCACACAAAGCTATACCAGACTGCATCGCTTTAGATCACGAACTCGAGCGCGCGCCTGCGAAGCGCAACCAGAAACGCACTGCAGGCGCCTCTTTGCCCCCATCATCATCTCTTTCTTCACCTGTTTTTCACGCTGACAATTCGCATTTGCTGCCCACGTCAGCATCAATCGCATCGCCTTTAGTCAGGGATGACTCTAAACATCTATTGCACAATAACGCACCGCTCAAATCACGCTCGCCTATCGCAATCGCATCGCCTTTAGTCAGGGATGAACTCTAACATCTATTGCACCTTAGCGCGCCTATAGAGGAGCCTTCTACCGCTCAGAGGCTCAAGTTTGCACCTCGCGTCAACCAGACTTTGCCTCTGGTAATTCCATCTGTCACTACGATCACGCGCACATCGCGCTTTTTGCTTCTAGTGACTATCCCTTGCCAGTAGAAGCATCCGTGCATCACACTGGCCCAACCACCAAGCAGAGCATGTCTCAGGCGACCCTGGGATGACTCAGGCGCACCATATTGCGCCTGAGAACGCGCAAGTGCGTGCGCCTAGAGGCATTGTATAGTTTCCCTCATCTCATTTCGCGTTTTTTTGTCCCTTCCAGTTTAAAGCTCTTAAGGAGCTCTATGAGAATTCCAAACACTTTAATTTCATCTCGCACCAACCCTTGTTCACGCGCCCATGATACGCTGCATCGCGCGGTAATTCCCGCGCCTCGCAGCATCCATAATTTTAGCAGAGTTTTCACACTATCGCATTTCTATTGTTTCTCCCCTTTTAAATCCACATTTCTGTTATTCAACACAAAATATGAGTCCAATCAGCCAATCCAGGCGCGACTTAGGCGCGCGCCGGACACATACCTATGCGCCTAACTCCCCCATCATCAGCTTCAACTTCGTCGACTTTCCACATTTATTCGCATTCTTCATGTTTTCGCTTACCATGTCAATTTTGTTCCTGCCACCCTGACGTGCACTATTCTCTT